ACAAATAATACCTAATCATATATACCTTTTAAGCAGTTTTTTCCCCTCAACTATTTCCATGAGGGTACATTGTTTATCCCCTCTTTTCTTAATTTCCCCCAAGTCCCAATGTCAGTCCCATTTTACAGCAGTGGCATTTTATAGTATTTGTCATTTTGTGAGTGAGATATTTCACTCAGCATAATGCCTTCCAGGGTCACCTGTTTTGTATGATATTTTGTAAGTTCCTTGTTTTTCAGTGTAGCAGGTTTTCAAAGGCAGTTAAGGAGATTGCCTCTCCTTCTGTGGAGCAACTGGTGGATTCAAACTGTGTGCAATGCACAGCATTGCAGTGCAGCTTCTTACCACTAATTAATTAATTAATTAATTCATTATAAAGACATGGCTCCCTACCCTAGGGAACTCATTCATAAAGAGATTTCTGTTCTTTTCTTGGCATAATGTCTAGAGACAGTTAAGGTGTAGTCCCTTGACCACTCTCAGATCTGGCCCCACCTGAATTCTACCACTAGCCAAGAGAAAGCAGTGAAAAGAGAACTAGAGGACAGGATTCCTTTCTCTAGAATTTGGAGCAGAATGAGCCAGTTAGCCTAGAGGAAACTGGAGACAAACCTGGGAGCCACCCAGAGAAGAAAACTTACATCTCACGCACCTTCATGTTGGGGATAGGATGTCACTATGACCCACCCACCCATGAAAGGAGTTTGTGCCTCTGTTGACAAGGTGATGGGCCCAGAATATAATGACAAATCTGCAATTTTGAAAGTGTACAGCATGACATGACAGCAGCTCAAATCCACCAGCTGTTCCTTGGAAGGAAGATAGACAATCTCCTCCCATAAAAATTTACAGCTTCAGAAACCTAATGGAGAATTGCTATGAGTTAAAACTGATTCAGCAGCAAGGGTTTATGCTTGGATATTTGTTCCCTAAGTAGTTTTATTCCTCTCAAAAATATAGAACAACTTTTACTGGTCTGGTTTCAATAAAACCAAGAATTGCCCAGTATAGGACTTCTTAGCTTTAACATGCATCTTGAATGACTTGGGAGCCTGCTGAGATTTCAGTTCACAAGGTCTAGGATGGGAGTCTGAGCCTCAGGCAAGTCTTTAGGTAGTGTTACTGCTGCTGGTCCATGGACCACCCTTTAAGTGTCAGGGTTCTTAAGGGGGGCTGGCTCCTGGAAGCCCTCACTGTCATATGAATGAGCCTGTCATTTTGTGTTCTCTGCGTAACGCAGGTTGTTGATGAGTCTTCCTCCATTGCATTTTAGCCTGCTGTGTGGTAGGGGCATGGAAACACAAGTGGGCAGTGCCACCAAAACCACTACAGTTAAAGAAAAGGTTCTAAAAGAAATAAGAAAAAGATGTGCATGTCTAACAGATTTGCAAGGCCCTTGCGGTACTCTCACTAGAGTAAATATTTTCCTTAGTATTCTGCCATCAAATCAATGATGAGTTTTTAACTCACTGGAGACCATGAAGAGGAAAATAACTGTGATTGGTAATTGAGGCTGGCATTAGGCCGTAGTTATCTTTTAAGAAAACCAAGGAATATTGAGCAGTATCTGATTGTAGTTGTTTGGAAATGAGGATTTTTGTGAGGCCAGGAACCCAACAGCACCCCAGTCCACTAGCTCTGTGTTACAGTCAGAGCTGGTGGGGCTGTGGTATTGACTCCCACGTGGTGAGAAGAGCTGTCAGGTGGTAGCACAGGGACCCTTTATCTTCATATCTTCTGTTCTATTTCTTCTCCCTGTGATTCGTGTCTGGGTGGGAGAGGGAGGAGGTTGGGGAGAAGAAGTAGACAGAGACAGACTGTTGGGCTTAGTCTTTCTTCCCTCTGTCTCCTGCCTTTCAGAGTTACCTTTGATGCGCCACGATTCCCCACCAGCCATTCCAAGCATTTTTTCCCAGGACTCCCTCCGTGTTCAGAATCTCAGACCCGGAGTGAGTTTCTCCAACCAGATGGCAACTTTATGGAAAGGATACAGGGTCCCCCAAACTTCTCTCCTAGCCCAGCAGAGGCTGGGATCTGACTCCTCTCAACGACGCTACAGCTCAGACACCAACCCAAAGTGCCTTAGCCCAGGATCCTGGGCTCCTGCCACTCCCTCAGAACCCCTGCCATCATCGGACCAACTAACCCATGTGGACGCAGAAGGACGGGAAACTATGGTGGGTGTGTGCAGGAAGCCAGACACAGAGCGGGTGGCTGTGGCCTCAGCAGTGGTCCTTCTGGGGCCTGTGGCCTTCGAGCTCATCCAGCAGAACCAGCTGAAGAAGGGCGATGCCCTGATGGTAGCTCAGCTGGCCGGAATCCAGGCCGCCAAGCTGACGAGCTAGCTGATTCCTCTGTGCCACCACGTGGCCCTGAACCACGTCCATGTGCAGCTGGAGCTGGACAGCACGCGTCATGCTGTGGTGATCCAGGCATCTTGCCGGGCTCGCGGCCCCACGGGGGTGGAGATGGAGGCACTGACCGCGGCGTCAGTGGCTGCTCTTACCGTGTATGACACATGCAAAGCCGTGAGCAGGGACATTGTGCTGGAGGACATCAAGCTCATTAGCAAGACTGGGGGCCAGCGGGGGGACTTCCACCGGACCTAAAGCTCCAGCTGCTAGCCCCCACCAGGCCCAACTACGCCAACAGGTGGATGCAGTGTTGGGTAAGATGGCACTGCCAAGTTCCTTTAACCCTGTCAGCATTTACTTTCACCAGTAAGAACCCAGAGTCAGTCCACGCTCCTTTACTGGTAATACAGGATCTAGAATCCAGTGACCTGGAAGGTGTTTCCTTTCTAAAAAGAGGAAGCCAGCCACCTCCGCAAACCTGCCAGGACACTAACATCCTGAAATGAGGCCGGAGCATGCAGCTCTACACAACTGAAACCACATGGCATTTTTTATAGACTATTTCCGATAATCCATTTCAGCCAGTCTGGCCCATACCTTCCACTTCTCATTTTGGATTTTCTTTTATTTACCCTGAGGAGGGGTAGACACTTAGGAAGCAGTGGCACCTCCTTTGAGGAGGGAAAGCACTTGCTCTATCTAGGGATAGAGAAGACTTTTCTTGAGCAGTCTTCCTGGGCCTGCCTGAGCTTGCGAGCAACTGCAAATCCGTCCGGTAACACCTCTCCAACCTCCTCCTTTAAAAGAGCCGTTTTCTTTTCCCAAGTCCATTCCATCAAATGTCCAGGCTCTCAGCTTACCAGCTGCACTGCCCTGCTAGCTCTTGCTCCACACTCCTGCCCTTCCTAATGGGACAGACACATTGGCCTCAGTCCTAAGGCCTTGTGCCAACCAGCCACGTATCCTGCACCTGGCCCTGCTCACTGCCATTCTGCCCTCACCCCTTGATACTAGAACATACCAGGGGAAGAAGAGTATTGAAGATTGCCTTCAGCTTCACAGTGCACACATGAATAAAGCCACAGTG